GTCTATCAGAGCAAGAGTTTTTAAAGGAGCGCATGACCCACCTGAGGTAGCTTCTTGTGAGCACAGTTTACTCCTCCAACGAAAATCATATTGGGCATCAAAGGTCTTGGATAGTCTAACACAAAATCTAACCTCATGAGCCAAACAGAAGCCTTACGAAAGAGATTCGGCACAGTCACAGCCCGCTGCAGGAACTCAGAAGCCAGTTTTGTATATGGTTGAATAATAAACTCACAGAAAAAATAATTTGGGATGTGAAAGAATAGATTCTTCACCCGCTGGAAAAAGTTCATATGGTCTGTATGAGGGGACATAAGAAGGGGGATTGGGACACTGAGTGGCTTGAAAATCTAAACCACATGGCATTACCCGAAAAAAAAGCACGGAAGGAACTGAAAGATGCTCAGCCAGTATTTGCCCACAGGGTATTACAGGGTCTGTGAAGACAGCATCAAACTTGCTCTCCTCAAGATATGTGACAAGCTCTTTGTTGTACAGTAAGTGTGCACAGGTAGAGAGAGTCATGGCAGAGAAGCCTTTCAGTCTCTGGTATACTTTAAAAAATCTTTCCAGAAAAGATCCTTCTTCATGAACGACTTGAAAAAATGTCCCGAAAGTTTCATCCATCTCTTCCTGTGTGTAAGGGACTGGGTACAATTTCATAACAAAATTCTCTGTCGGCTTTATGTGTAAACCGTATTCAGGTGCAATGACGACTATTTCATGTCCCTTCTGCCTGAGACTATCCAGTATTTCCCGCGTGGTGAACCAAGGACTCCCATCCGGCGCCACCACCAGCAGCTTCCCAGCAGCAGCCAAACCGAGCACAGACATGAGCAGAACCAGGGTCGCTGTGACTTGCGGATAAGGAGTGAGCAGCGAGGCCATTTCTGCAGGAATCTGGTGAGTGCTGCCCAAAAAGAAAACCCCTGGTGGCACTGAAGCACCAGCACCAGCTCTGCTCTTTTAAGCAATCTGTGCTACACCCAAACTTTTGATCCTTCAGAGTATTTGCTGTGTGGTCAATGTTTAATCATTTAACTGATAAAAGGCTGAACAAGGAGCAATGGAGTTCATCAGTCTACCATGGCAGGAGGTAAATCTGATGGTTGCACCAGATAAGCCCTGCCTGTT